GGCCGCCTTCTCTCAGGGGCCGGCGCTCCCGCCTGTGGGAGGGCTCCCTCACGGCAGAGCCTCGGTGCTGCAGCTCCTCCGGTGCTCGGAGTTGTGGTGCAGGTGAGAGCGTTCACGGCTCAGGGGCGGGCGGTGAGCTGGCGCAGCTATCCTACGGGTTTAAGGCGTAATAGGAAGGGGTGTTTTATCCTTTACCTGCCGTTTTTTTTCTTCTAAGGTAGCTTGACATGTGTGTCAAACTTCGGTTGTATTGCTGAACGTTTTGTTATTAATTTCTGTGGGGCTAAGTGTTTATTCTTGCATTGCTTAATGAGGCGGCCCCTACGAAGACTGCCCGAACGTGAAATGTTGCTGGTGACCGACACCATGTTGGGGATCTGGCTTTTTCTCTCACTTTATGCCCTGGTTCTTGGTTTGGGGCAGAGGGGACAACGGAGCAGCTGAGTGGCGGACTGAAGAGGTGGCTGAGATCTGTGACCCTCCTCAAGTGTTTTTTGCCTTTAGGAACATTATGCTGGATTTTCACATGGAGAACAGAAGCGTAAAGAAAAACTTGAAGACAACACAAAAAGCTGATATAAAAGTAGAACGTGTTCTGTCACGCTTTCTGTGTTAGCTTCGATGTAACCCATTACAGATTTTCAAGAGCACGATACTCTGCAACTGTGATTCTACATTACTTTTGCATAATTATTTTATAAGACAGCAGCCCATTAGTAAATAATGGTCTTACATAATGGTGACGATAACTGTGTACCTGTACCACTGTCTTTAATGTACAGTTTGAAGAAAATTTTCCACTTTATTATGCAGGTCCGTGTTCTTTTTCTGCTTTTACATACATTGCAGGAGCGGTAGTGATTGAGATACTGAAAAAAGAAGTTGGTTGTTTGGGATTTTTTTGGTTTTGTTTTTAAAAAGTGCTGTGAAGAGGCACAGTACCTCACAGGTTTGTATAAGTTAAGTTTCTTTCTTCAAGAGGTTTTTATTATCCTGAAGAGTATGTCAAGAACTAGTGTAATAAATAATTCTGATACAGATTTTTATTACAAAGAAATGTGTTTTGTACAGGTATCTGCAAAGAAACAATGGCAACAGAATCTCCACGCCGCCCTAGTCGATGTACTGGAGGAGTAGTTGTTCGCCCACAAGCTGTCACGTAAGCACGTTCTAGAAAAATAGCCTTTATTTAATTTTTTTTAAATTTTCTTGTAGAAGAAGAACCTAGCCTGAATTTTATTTCAAAGCCAGCTGTGTGTGCTTGTGTTGATAGTACAGTTTTGTTGCATTGAGTATTTTCCAATAAAATAATACAAACAGATGTTGCATTCCTGTCTCCTAGGACTGTGCAGGTCAAACTGGCTCCCTAAATGGGATGCTTTTCACTTATACACCAAAACATTCAAAGTTGTACAGTTTAAAGATGAACATATTGCAATGTTTTGTTGTTTGTTGACACAATTTTGCTTGCTGTACAAACACTACAGTAGCTGTAGGTTAGTGACTGCGGACTTCTTCCTTGCTGTTGTTTTTAATAATACCTTGTCACAAGGGTGAGTATATTAAAACATATAAGCCTGTCATTAAAGTCCTTCAGTAAGTAGAATTGTGGATTCTAATTTTTTTGCTTAAGAGAACAAAACCAAGAACAAAGGAAGAAGCTACCTCTCTCCAGTCAGAGCGCGTAAGAGACCATTTTTATGCTTGGGAATCCTTATTTTCATTGTGATCACATGAAAATACTTTCATGGCCAGAGCGCTTAGTAGTACTGTCTAGAAGGTTTATGGTCTTGTCTCTGTATGTTAAAGGATTTTTGTAGCAGCTTTTCTCTTTTCCTGGGGCTGTTTATTCTGCTGAATTGTTGCTGCAAAATGGCACCGTATTGAAATGTTCACCTGTACTATCAGTTTCAGTGGCTATTAGTTTGCCACTGGAGATAGCTGTGTATTTCGACATCAAGCTTCACTTTATTTTTACTAGGGAGCACAAGAAACTGATCTTTGTAACACAAAGTTGTGTTAGAGGTTTGTCTTACAGCCGTGTGATAGAATGAGCATTTTTTTGTGTTGCACAATTCCTCAACAAATGCATCTCTGTAACCATCTTTTCTTCAAAATACACTTTAAAAATACAATAATAGGAAAACACTGTAAGAATAAGATTATCTGTTCTTTTATTAAATATGGTGGCTTGTTCTTGAGGTACATATTTTCACTTCAAAAATGTCAGTCTTTCTGATGAGCGTTTGTGTGTGTTGAACAGCATGCAGCAGTGTTCTACTGCTTATGTTAAGTTCCTAGATTCTTACTAAGGGAAGATTTTTTTTTTTTGGTGGGTTTTGTTGTTGTATTGTTTGTTTTTAAGGACTTTAAAGATATCTTCCTGGGGGGTCTTTAAGTGCAGGAGGGATTTAGAGTACATACACTGAATAAAACATTTTCCAAACATCACCTTTGTTTCAAGATGTACTTGAGGGGGTGGGAAAAAAAAAGTACTTATTTAATGAGCTGAAAAATGAAGACAGTATGACTCTTGCTGGTAAGCATTCACATGAGAACTTCAAACACTGTATGTAAGACTATGCCTGTAGACAAGTATTATTGCTAGGTAATAAAGGGCTCTGGAGGTATACAAAGACAGTTTTGGTGACCTACATAAATCAAAGAAGAATCGGCGCTATAAACCACAGCTCATTTAGAAGGCCTCAGCTTAAAGCAGTAAGACAAACTTCGATGCAGTAATCCTTGGATTGCTGAACAAGATCTAGTTTTGTCATGAGTTGGAATAAGCTTTCTAAAATTTAAAACTCTATGGTTTAGATTTATCTTTGTTTTCAGAGAGGAGTCAACCAGTTAAGCTGATCCAGGTGTTGCAGCATTTGACTTGAAGTATCTTCTGTATTGCTGTGTATAGGGCAGAGTACTTGGTTCTTAAATACTAAACACTCCAATTTCTATTAAAAGTATGTTACACAGCACGATTTCAGAAAGCATATGCACCTTTGGACATTAAGAGTCTAGATTTCCTAGTTCACAATTTTTCTTTGTTGCTGTTAGACATCCTGAGTTAGCACAGGAAAAATTACTACCAATATAAAAATTAATTTGGGGGCTGCCAAAGCTGTTAGCTAAAGTAAATTTTTTTTAAGTGTCTCAGACTTTATGAAGATAGTTCTTGTTGCCAGCATGTTTCAGTATTACTCATTACAGAAAGCACAAACTTTTTGTGTAGTTTCAACACCGTCTGTCTAATACAGTCAGCCCACGTTGTACGTTGCTCAGTAGTTACACAAGAGACTCGCCGCTCATGCGGGGATAAGCTAATGAAAGCATTAGTTTAAATGTACTAGAACAAATGTATCTCACGCTGCACACTATTCTAAATCGTTGCTGCTGATGAACTTCCAATAAAGAATAAGCTTCCCAAGCTATAAAGTCTTATCTGAAAATACCTCTCCTTACTGTTCTTAGTCGAGTTTTTGTTCCATCTGCTGCCCTCCAAGTGCTACCACTTACTACATTGTTGTACATAATGCATATGAGGTCTTGCCCCACAAGGAGAGCTCCAGCCCTTAGCTTAAGTCCTCATCTTCATGTTGTAATACCCAAATCAAGTAGAAGAACACTGAAGAATAATTTCCAAGTGCCTGTTCTACTTCAGTCAGCCACTCTGATGTGGAGAACATGGTTTCTTTCTTGACTGTTACCTTTTAGCCTTTTCCCTCCAGCAGTTAGTTCATAAACAGGTATCACTTAGCTTTTTACAGACCTTTAGACCACTATTAATATTGTCAGAGTGTTTGGCAGTGTATTAAGTAACTGCATTGCATACTTAATGTTTTCCTTTGCAATAAAGATTGTACATGTTTTCTCTAGTGGTATGTCTTAATATATTCACGACCGTTTCTGAATTTCAGTGGTAGTTGAAATTTTCCTTCTGTTTTCAAGGGAACAGTCATATATGGAAAGCGTTGTCACGTTTCTTCAAGATGTTGTGCCACAGGTACGTGCAGATCTTTAAAACTGTTTTTTCAATGTACAAAGCAGTTGAAGTGTGTGTCAGGTGGACCAAAATATAGTTGAAAAAAGCCAGATTTTATTTTTTTGAATGTGAATCTTGAGACCCAGTTTTTGAAGGTGTAGGTCAGTTTTTGAAGGTCTGAAGGCCAGACCTACAGACCACCTCTGATAAGTAACAATTAAAATGAAAATCTTAGCTACGTAGAAGTTGAAGGATTGCAATATAAATAGCAGGAAGAAGATTGCAGCCTTTTCCTATGATAACTTTGGCAATAGAATAGTTGAGGAGGGGAGAGACGGCATAATACTTGCTCTGCCTCTTACAAATGTGTTTTTTCTGAGTTGTAGTCGGAAATCTAGTGTGTGAATCCTGGCTGGATTGGTGTTAGAACACCTTGGCAGACACCCTTTGTCACCTTTGCTTTTATTATTGGCTGAAAAGGAGGAAGTTTCTTTTGCCTCCTTCACTCCCCTTTTTTTATCTTGTTTCCTTAACTTGCCTCTGAATGCCCTAGTTGCTGTGGGACTGCAAAGCTCTGCCTATCCCCTTATGCTCCAGTGTGCTGAGTTTTGCAAAGCAGGTGTCCTTGCTCTGCTTTTTTTTTTTTTTCTTTTTTTCCTTCCCTCATTTCTGGGATCTTCCTCTCTGGAGCATAACAGTGATGCTTTATGTCTGCTCTTGGTCATAGTTTTTGCAGGTAGCAGCAGCATGCAACTGGAGTCATCGCTTCTGCACTGCCCTCAGGAGCAGAGGGAAACTAACTTTGTTTTGTTGCTCTGTGGGAAAGCTGTAGTCCATAGCAGAGGAGCATTGCAGCTAATTGTAGCCTCAGGAGACTATTTTGCTTCTTATTTGAAGGATTATCTCTGTTAGTCAGTCATGAATTTCCTCAATAGTAATATAAAATTTCCTCTCACTAGCATAAATTTGTGGAGTGCATTTTGGACTCACAGTCAAAATTAAAAATAGTCAAATTTTCATTTAAAAGATTGTTGCATTCCACACACACCCCCAGTTTTTCCCCTCTGTAGTTAAAAGATGCAGTCTGTGGTTTATTTTACAAATCAGTTTGCCTTGGAAGCATGGAACATGATTTGTTTTGAAAAGTAATACCCACACTTATTTTTTTAAATTTGTATTTTTAGTTCATGTTATTGCTTTTCTGGCATGTATAAAGCTCTTTTCATATTTAATCTAAAATACTGCACAGTATTTTGTTATAATTCATTTGGAAGTGATGGTATTGCTACTGTAGCTCACGTTCTTACTACCACAGTTTCTCCTGAGAACTGTAAAACTGGCAGTTTGGAAACACTGCAAGTCTCCTTCGCAGATTCTTTTTGTATCTCATCTTTTTATGGGAATCTGTAGAACACAGGACTGAAACATAGATCTGTTCTACTGGCATTACAGTTTATCCTCTTTTAAATGTCTATATTAAAGACGTGACAAATATAACTAAAATATGTCGGTAAAATAAACTATGTAGTAAAGGTCTCTTTCTTGCCTCAATCTTGCTTACAAAGCTTTTAAGTGAATTAAAGAGATTTTTAAGAGAAAAATGCCTTGCCTGCGAACTTCTAACATTGCTTTTAGAAGGCATGTGCAACGCTAAAGTTAAAAGATTGTAGAAGCCACTGTATTTTAGCCTGACTAAATTTCTGTAAGTCACATGGCATTTCTAACCTGCTCCTGAAGACTTATTGCTATGTATGTCTTGTGATTTCTACATTAGTAAGTGATGTTACGCTTGTTGAGTTATATTTAGTATGGTATATGCTGGTCACGGAACCATTTGTTTTTGAAAGAAAACCTCACAGGAATACTGGTGACAATAAGATGCACATACCTCTGTTTTTCTTTTTTAACTTACATTCCCTCCTGTGGTCTATAGATGGAGAAAGCGGGGAAATAAACCTTCTTATTTCAACCCCTTTTTGCTTTTTGTCCAGGCCTACAGTGGTACCCCACCAGCAGAAGAAAAGGAGAAGATCGTTTGGGTCAGATTTGAAAATGCAGATTTAAATGGTATGACTTCATTTTCTCTCACTTATTTTTGTGATTTTTTTTTTGTGTCCATGTACAATAATTTTAGTCAGCTGTATCAGTAAGCATTGTTGCTTCAAAATGAAGTATTTCATTTCCCTGTTCTAGATAGGCTAAATTTTAAGTGAGTGCTGCACTTTTGTTCAGTATCTACCAAATGGAACAAATAGGCCTTGTGACTTCATCTGAAGGCAAACGAACTCTTGCTTAGGAAGAGGGGCAAATAAATCCATTTTTTTTTCCTTAAGGTAGTTGAAAACAAAGCCTAGAACTGAATTCATTTCATCTACTGTTTGATTTCAAAGCCAGATTAGCTAATCCAGTCCAGATCCCAGATATATATTCAGTGGTGTGGCAGAATTCAGAGACAGAATTTACTCTGAAAGGAAGCTACTGTTTGATTTCAAAGCCAGATTAGCTAATCCAGTCCAGATCCCAGATATATATTCAGTGGTGTGACAGAATTCAGAGTAACCTAGAAAGGAAGAGCAATTGAGTAAAATGAGCAGGAGATTCCGTGATGTCTTTCAGGGAAATAATAGAGCAAAGCCACAAAATATTCTTAAAATGTAACTTATCACTTCCAGTGTATCTTAATAAATCATCAGGGAAGACAACTGACTGAGTGCAGAAAACAGATCCCCAACCTTTTAAAGAGAAAGTGGTGGTTGTTACGAGCTTTTGCGAAGAGTATCAAGTAGATCCTCACTTAAGATTTGAGCTGTTTTACCTGTCTATCCCGGTTATCTTTTTTTTGACTAAGGAAGATTAGGGACTGAATGAGAGATGGTTGAATGCTGCTGTCAGGTAGTTACTTCTTGACCTAACTGAACATCTTGGAGTTGCTTGTGGTGTGTTGTATGTGTGCTTGTCGTAGCTGGGGAACTAAGGGACCTGCCTTCTAGAGAATGCTGGATTTAAGCCTTTCAGCAAATTGCTGTTTCTTGTCTGCCGTCTTGTTTTCCTGTTTAGAGCTCTATGGTAAAGGCTCATTCTTGTCTCAGATGAAGTAATAGCAACCATAGCCAGAGCTGTGATGGGGAATTTTCAGCCTTTCCAAGAGGTTAATAGGGAAGATTATATGTTTTCCAGCTGTTGAAGTGGCACAGAGGCCGGCAGTTCATAAATTTGTGGTTATTAGAACTAGAAAAGGCCTATCAACCTGTATGTGGCATTGTGTCCAGCTTTAGGCCAGTTAAGGTTTGTTTGCTTGTGGGTTTGTTTTCCTCATATGTTTATTTTTAAAAAATCTCAGGCATTCCCTCTTTAGATTCTTTACTACAGTGTAACAAAAACTCTTTAGAATAGTCTTCAGAATCCTTCATATTCTGTTTAAATTTACTTTTATACAGCCTAATCTGATTGGGCCTGAATACATCCTCTTTCACCATCCTAAATATTTCCTCTCCTTCAATGCTTGCATGCTTGCAGTGAGCTTTTGTTCATTCTGTCGTGGTTGAAAATGTAGTTTCAGAGGGCTTTACTCAAGAAAAGCTTAATATTTTTTGATTATTATGTCCTGTAGCACTTTTCTTCCTGGGAATTTTCTTCTTTTGGTAAGGTTGATTACTTAGTAATCAAAGATTAATTACATAGTATCTAGAATTAGTTTTGACCAGTCTGTGCATTTGTAATTTCTGTATTTGTTAATATTTATTTTGTTGGTCCTTTGCAAATTTTTCTCTATTTGAAGTGTTTGCCATATTTTGTTAATCATTGGAGAAAGAATTACAGAAGTTTTTGGGGTATTTAGTGACAACCCACATTGTAATCCAGAAAATTTTTCACCGTCATTTTAAATTCTAATGCTTTCTAACCTCTCTGTGAAACTTTAACAAATCTGTTATGTTTGCCTAAAAGAATCTATTTGAGTATTGTTCCAGCATAAAAATTTAAACCACTTTGCTTGCTTTTACTTATGGCAACAGAAACATGCACTGAGAAAATGCAATCTAGTATAATTGACACCAGCCATAGTTGATCCTAACTTGTTAATAACAGCTTTGATATTTAAACCCAATTTAGATACATCAAGGAATATGGAGTTTCATGAAATACATAGCACGGGGAATGAACCACCATTACTGCTAATGATCGGATACAGTGATGGAATGCAAGTGTGGAGCATACCTGTAAGTACAGAGTTCACTTCTGTGCTGAAGCTTTTTTGTTTGTAGTGTTGTGTTATTACTTTACTTTTAATTTCTCTTATTGAAGTGGAAAGAGCTAATGTTTACCGTCAATATCATATGGTTTCTATGTAATATGCCTATCTTAAGATTAATACTGAGCATAGATCAAACACTTGAATTCATGTACCTTCAGATTTGAGGGCTTTTTACAAATTATTTCTGTTAAGTAAATTTTCAGAGTTGAATTGGGAGTAGTGTTTGACATTATGGAATAGTTTGTATCCCAGAAAGGACAGAAATCTTTTTAACCTACAGAAAGGGATACGGGCGGAAAAATATGAAAAGAATTTGTTTGTACCAGGAATGCAAGTATGACAGTATTAATAGTATTTTACAATCACATGTTTGTCATGTACATGATTTGCAATTTTAATTTTATTAAAGTGTATGTGTGCATATGGGTTTGATTTCATGCTGTCATACACACACCCTGCAGTTTGTGTTTCAGAGTGGTTTATGAGCACATGGTCTTAATTTGGGGAATTTCCCCCAAATTTCTTGAAACTACAGAATAAAGTTTAATACAGTAGGTCATAAACTTCTTAACTTAAAAAAAACCAAATTGCTTATAGCACCCTGTCCTTCAAAATAATGTAGAGAGGATGGAGTTCTTTCCCTTTGTAAAATACATTGTTTTTTTGAGAAATGTGTGTATTTTTTTAATAACTTTTTGGTTGGCTGCGTAGGATGTGTTTATATGCCAGTAGCTTAGTATAATAGAAAATGATGTTAATTTGTGCACCAAAAGTGAAGTTAAATTGAGTTTCACTGGAGTGTGGGAGAGCTGGTTTTTTCCCCCCCCGATTGCATATTGTTAGTTGGAGACAAGGAAGAAAAGGAACTGCTGAGCTTTTACATTTGAAGGAGAGTTTAATAGAAATGGAGTAAGACCTAGTATACTTTACTAGAGTTCAGTATTTGTAACTTTTTACTGAGATTTAGGAACATTTTAACCAAAATATAGGAAATCTTATCTGCTTGTATGCCCTGAGAAACTACATCTAATTCTAACTTTCACAGCTTTATTTTTAATGGAGCAAAACAAATCTTTGGATTGTTTTTGTATTTTACCTTTTTAGAGCAGAAGTATGCATGACCTAGCAAAGCTAACGTGTCTGCTCTGTTTGTTTGTTTGTTTTTTTTAAATCTGCCTTTACACTGGTATGACTTTGAATACTAAGAATGGATTTACAGTATGTAATTAGTTTTGTGCATTATTTTGAAGACTGATCAGTTTTATATTAGTGTAAAAATCAGATTATTAAAGTGGTTGAGAAAGGCTTGGCTTTGTTCTTTGAAGTGTATTACAGAAAACCAGCATTAGGTGTCACTAAGATACTGAGCGAAGAGAGGAAACCCCCGGCAGCGGTACCAGCAGTTCTGGCACAAGCTCATCAGTTAGTTAGGGTGCTGTGCGTAGTCACATAGGCTTAAGCTAAAGGATTTTTATAAAGCATCTTACTTTATCCTGCTGTTTCTTATCCAAATGAATGCGTGCTTGCTGAAAAATGTATAGAAGAACGTTTTGTTGACTTGGGGCTTGTCCTGGCCACGCTATGTTAAGAGTAGCTTTGTGTCTAGCAGAGATTGTTTTTGGTTCTCCCCCCCCCCCCCCCGTGTTCGCGTGTGTGCGACATGGCCTTGCTTTGTGGTTAGGTGAGAGTTCTGCGCATCCCTCCTAAGTGGCTTTCTGTGTCTCAACGAAGGCGTGTCTGCCAGAGCTATCTGTATCAATGCCCTTGAGAAATGCTGTGTGGGATGGGATCTTACATGTGTAAAGAGAGCAAGAATGAAAGACAGTTTCAGTTCTTTGGTACGTGAACGCCTTGGTGTAACCTCTTCTGCATTAACTGTCTGCATTCAAACTCATACCCCATGGTACACTGCAGTAAACATGAAATAATTTGATGGAGGTTACTAACAAATGACAACTTAAACTGCTACATTTATCCTGGTTTATGTGTCTGAATTAGCCACAAGTTAGGCCACGGAATACCTGATGTCACCTTCTTTTTCAGTAGGATGATACAGCCAGGTTGTCTTCCCCCCAGCCTCCCCCACAAGTGTATTTCACATCTTCATAATACCTAGATTTTCATAGTATTTAATATTTTAGGAAAAATAAGAGAAATGAAATTGCAGGACAGTTTCTCTTAGTGGTGTTCATTTTTTACAGAGGTGTTTTTAATGAGTGGGAAGGAAGTCCAGTCAAATGGAAAAATGCCAAATGTGGAACTATTTTACCATCCATCTTAAGAATGTCAGCTGTAGAGATATTGCATCACTTTGTCTGCTCTTCATTTGTATATTCTGTGAAATTCAGAGAGCACATCCAGAGAGGTACAGCTTTGACATACGCAGTTTGTATGCATTAGTATAATTTCAGTGTTGGAATGGTTCCTTTGTTAGTAAGATCATCTTGGAGAGTTTCTCAGGATGATAGTCTTTAACATCAATTTGAAATATCTTTTCAGAGCAGGATTTGTATATCCAGCAAATTTGGAGGTAACATAACCTGGGTTTTTTTGCGTGTTGTTTCTTCATCTTATTATTTTACTCAGACTAAGTAAGCAAAAAAAATTTGGCAGTTGTGAGACTGAATATTTAGAGTTTATTTGGCAACACTTCTTTGTGTCCTTTGGTATGGGTATTACACAACCCTTTCTTCTTGATCTAGCTGAGTATTTAGCTTGTAATTAAGCAATGTTATTCCAGTTAAGAAAAAAGCCCCGCATCTCTATAGTTTAAAAACCTTTCAATCTGAAAAAGCAACAATTTGACATTTATGTGAAAATCTACTCAGCAAGGCTATTATCTGTAGCGTTGTGCTTTTTATTCTTACAATTGAACCTCTATTCAGCACTTAATAAAGTAATGTGTTGCAGGCAGTCCAGTTTGTGTCTGAGTGATTATGAAGTGTTTATGACAGCTTCTAAGCTGACACTCTCCGTAATGGTGTTACATTGACTTCTAAACACCTTCACAGTCTGCCTCCAGGAGTGTGTGTCTCTCTGCAGTCTGAGTGGTTTCACATTAACATCTCCTTGGAGTAAGATCTTTGACTACAGAAGTGTTACTTGCAAATGGAAGATACCATTAGGGCTGCTTCAAAGGACTGAAATAATGTTTGGACTGCTGGGTGCTGAAGTAACGGCTGGGGTTTTGAAGTGCAGCGTCTAAATCTGTATTGCATAAGAAGCGGAAGGTGTCCATCCAAATGACTTTTCTTTGATCTTTGTTTTGAAATGGGGGTGGGAAGGTTAAAAGTGTTCTTAAAATATGCCTCGCTAAGTGGGGAGAAATCTGGGAATATACAAAAGTATGACTAGAAGTTCCTATTTGATAATTGTGAAGTGTAGTTTTGTGTTTTATTTGGAATTTGCTTTTCCCTTGGTCCTAGTTTCAAGTTTCAAATACAATTGGAACTGGTTTCTGCCTGATGTGGTTTCCAAGTGTCTGTTCTAGATGTTCCTGTTCAGGGAAACGCATGTTGGCTGGTTTTGTGGCAGATAATTTTTTTTTTCATTGTATGCTGGAAGTTTCACAAGTAGAAAAATAATCTTAATTTAATGGTTCATATTACAATTAGAAAAGAACAATCAAGCTTGAGCTGAATAAAGTAGGAACCACTAAAGGGAACTTGTAATAACAAGCACAGATGTATATTTAGCAAAAAATATGTAAAGGCGATGGTATGATGATGCTGCCACAGACTGACGAGATGCGTCAGCCCATACCGCAGGTGACTTCCATGTGGAGACCTTTGGCATGCAGAGGACTCGTTGAACAAGGATGGCATCACACACTGCCATTTCTCCACTGCCAGACCTCAGTTTTCTTTAAATGCTGCTGTCAATAATACTATGATTTTTAAGTTGTTAAAACTGCAGTTCTACAGCAGATGATGTGTATGTGTGGATGTATAGATGGATGTATATGGTAAGTCATGCCGGTTCCATTTTGTTTTCTCAACTGTTTGTCAAAAGCCCTGCCTGCTGGGGTTTTGATGTGGTGGTCTTTGTAGTTCTTTCTCCTTTGTAATTCTTCCCCCTTTTAGAGCTGGGAAAAGGCCTAGTCACTTACCACATAGGAAGCTGCAATCCTTCCCCTGTCCAGGCCTCCTCCTGACAGAGGGTGCCACTGTTAAGGCTTGTATTAGCCACTTGGAAAAATGTAGTAATGACCTGACCTAGTAACCCTGAAAAGTGACTAAGGACTTTACAAAACATCTATGCAAATCATTTGTTGAGGCTTTGTATTTTTTTTACACTGAAGATGCTAGCAGTGTGTAAGAAATTTTCTGATTTTACACTGGTTAAGTGACTGCAGAACTGTTGGAAGGATATTTTTTTAATTATGATTCATATCATACCCTACACCAGTTGGAAAAAAAAAAAAGCATGTGCAACAACCTTTGAAAAGGCTGTGGTGAGAGGTATCTTTTTTTTTATGGGAAGAGTCCAAACGGCATTTCATGTAGCTCCCCTTGGATGAAGTCAGAGCTAAAATGGAGACTCATGAAGGGAGTTAGTACCCATATTATACCTGCTTCCAATATTGTCTGCCTTGTTCTTGTCTCTGTGTAGAAATTGAGTGATTAAAACCCATGCAGAATTGTCCCCAAATTAGAATTTTGTAGGGAGCCTGCACCCTGGTCATGCTAAAACTCCTCAAAATGTATGACAAATAAAGTGAGAACATTGAGGAAACTGTAACCAAAACCATTTGTAAGCTTTCATTTGTTAAATTCAGTTAGCATTGTCATAATTTTAAATGCTAGGTGCAATTTCATACTTAATTTAATCACTAGAGTAGGTATCTGTAACATTTCTTGAGCATCTAAATTCTTGTAATCTCTAGATAATTATGGAGTTTTGTTTTGAATGAAAAAGCAGACTATTTGAATTTTTAAACTAACGTGATAAAATTTGTCCTTTTACTTACAGTCCTTCATTACTCTATCAGTAGCGAGATGACTGGTAGTAGCCTTTAACCCAAATGACTGTCAAACAATATTTTATGGTGGTATCTGTCAATTGCTTATTGTCATATTGTAACATCGTATCATGATATCTATATCATATTTAAAATATATATCAGGATATTGAGGGGAAAAAAGCCAACAAACTCCTCATACTTTCCATTTGCTCTATGACAGTTTTTTAATATACAAGCAGTTTCCTTTTATATAGTTGCACAGTAGTTAAGCGTTGAATTTTGAACTCAGTTTTGTTTCAGTTTGATGTATACTTGACTTTTTTTTTTTCACCATGTGAAAACCATTTTCTATGGTTGGAAACTATTAGTTATCCTTAGTGTGAACAAAACTTCCTTTGTTCTGTTTTTCTGGGTGCAAACTGGTATGCTCCAAACAATAAAGCACTGTCATCAAAAATTAACCAGTGCTCCAGGTTTCTGGTCTGTCTTATTTTAAGCAGTAGCTCAAGACGTCTATGTGGAGGAGAGAGGAGTTCTTTTTTTCAGTCTGTCATTATTGGAAGAGAGTGATGAAGACTTCATGGGGCCGGGTTTTGAATCGGCGTGTTCTTTGCTTTCAGCCTTCCATGTAGGTCTGGGGCTTGTGGTTTGATACTAGGCTCTGGGAAACCTGAAATGTTCTATCAGACCAGCTTGGAGCCGTCATTTTGGATTCACTCTTTTATAGAATGAGTACCTGAAGCTGCTTTTATAGCTCAATATTCAATTCTTGAAACCTGTTTGGAAATATTCTTGGCTTTTGGAATGGGAAAGAAAAACTTTTAAGAGCTTTGAAAGCTGCCACAGGGACTTGCTACTTAGCTGGATCAAATCCAAAATGGCAGCCACAGCCTAGTTTCTTCACAGGTGCTTTTTGAAGAATTTAGAGCTCTGTTTTCAGTTCATGTAGTCTATTTATATTTTGTCTGTGCTTGTGAGACTGTGTAGCTCAAGAGACTGGTAGTGGGATGTGGAGCCTTTTACTTACACTTGCCAGCCCACATCTCACCCAAACTGGCAGTGACAAAGTTGTTAGCCATTTTAGTGATGGGGCTGGGCTTCTGTTAAATGTAGGTCCTTGTCCCACTTCAGTTCCTAGTGGAGTAAGTGCCCCATTCACAGAAAAGATGGGCTGTCCATGTTGGGTGTCTCAGGAGTGAGATAAGGCCTGAATGGGCAGGAAGATGAGACTATATAATCTCTCTACCCTGAAGATGGTGCTTTCAGTCAAAATGGCTACATGTGGGCTCAGCAGTGGTAATAAAGTTTTATGTTTTATATAGATAAATGAAGGGCATTAGCATTAACCACAGTTAATTCAGAGTTTTTCAAGACTGCAAATAGCAGAACCTTCTACTGGTGGTAGTATTGAAAAAAACTGAATCGTAAGTCAAAGAAAATCTTGAACTTTAAAGCCCTAATGCATTTTTCAATGCTAAGCAAACCAGAGGAACAGCCAAGTTCTTAAAATTCACGGCATACAACAAAGTCCAATGCCTTCTATGATTTCATGTTTCTATAGAACAGTGAAGGACACACAACTTGAAAAAAATCGTTTAAGAAAACTGTTATTTTATGGAGCTATGGTAGATTAAGTATTAGTGTTTCGATTTGATCCATGTTGTAGTGTCATACCCGGATTTTTTTGTAAACTTTTTTGTGCCTTTTACTGAATTTGGCGTATTCTTTGTAAATGAGATGCCAATGGTTGGGTGGCATCTTGTATTTTCATTACAAAATGTACAGTGGGGGTATGTCTTAAAATTTGCTCCTTTTTGGCTTCCAGGAGTCAGCAACTGCTAAGTACATGAGCTGTACAGATGACTGAAGTTACCTGAACATTTACTTGCTTTTTTCTTAGTTCTACAAAGTTTCCGCTTTCCTGGGGAAAAAAAAGAATCCTACACAGACTGAAAGGAAAGGACCTGTTACACTAGAGTATTGAACATTACAGTGGTCTCAGAACAGGAGCTAACTACCTATAATCTCATCTTTGTCACTGTCAGATCCCATGGCTTTGGTTAGTCCATTTAACCTTTCTTTCTATAATTTCTCCCCAGTATAAAATGGTAAAATAGTTAACTTTCAAATAATGAATATTAATGATTAGAAAGTAAAAGCATTATATGCATAAAAAGAGCTGGACTGGGATTTTCATGTTAGGTGCTGAAGTACAAATAAACTTCATTTGTATTTGTACATTTTTAGGCTTTTCTTTGAAAATCTCAACTTTAAACTATATCAGGTCTTGGCAGCACAGGCTAAATAAGCGTGCTCTCTGGAGTTCAGGGTATTTAAGAGCAGAAAGTGAGTTAAGAAGGTTTGGCCTTCTTAGTGTATCTTGCATTTGGGACTATAACTTTATTTGAAATAGATTGGAGTTAGAGCTGATCTGCTGGCATAGTTAAAAAGTAGGAGGAGGTGACTGAATTGGGTTGGATTATTTTATGTGAATCACTTCTTCCATACTTTTGTTATGCTAGTTCTTTTCCCTCTTGTTTTCATAGCCATTGATGTCCATACACATGTGAAACAGCGTAATCATGATTTGGGGGCGGAGAGGGGGAATCTTTAATTGCCAATAATAATAGTTCCAAAGCCTTGTATTTTTCTTCTTCGTAATTTCCTCCTTTCCCTTTTCATAGAGCTGGTGCGTTCTGCTGGATAGAAAACGTGCTGCTGTCTTAATCTTTTTTCATCTCTTTATTACTCTCTCTCTTTCTCATTTGCTGCTTAGCTGTGCTCTACTGTTTTCCAAGCTGTCTTTTCTGGATGCAGATGTTTTTATCTATGTGCTTTTTTTCATACTGCATTCCGAACTCCTGATCAGTTAAAAACAATCAGCAAACCTTTACTGAGTTGATTTCTGATCATCGTTCTTTTGTCTTGTGTGGAATCTGGTCAGCAAGCTCTTCAGAGCAGAGGCCTCTAGCTGTCCCTGAGGGAGAATTAAACTTGTTTTGCAAAAGCTGGAGTACTACAATGTTGTGTGTTGTTCAGATGATGCTGCTAGCTGGAAGAGGAGAAGCCTCTATGATTGGAACATCTGCCTAATAAAATAAGAGCAGGGTAGATTAAGGGATTAATTCTCATATTGATTACAGTTTTAAAACTGTTGTGTCCATCAGGAATAATTCTGATTGTATCGTTAACAGTAACGTTGATTCATTCCAATGTGGGACTGCTAGCTGGCTAAGAATGTTATTTCCCCACGTTTGTGTAGCTTGAATGTTATTCTAGGTGTAACATGGAAAAGCAGTAGTTCTCTACATTCTGTGTTTACTTACTGTGTACAGAATGATGGGCTACCTCTGTAGTAAGTAGGGGTTTCAAAGTAATCTTACGGAAGACTTGTGCTTCAGTGGGGTAGGCTTCATTCTGCCCATGTTATCTGAAGCAGTGATAATAAATAATGAGGCTCAGGGTTAAGACTGGAAGTAAGCTAAGAGTCTTAAGTACTGTACTTATGACTTGTTGGTCAAACAGTAGTAGTATTTTAACTTTTCGAATGTGTGAGCTGAAGTGCGGAAAGAAATGGGAACAATCACAAAATGACGTTTCAAAAAGTTAACTTGTATTTGTAGTTTATTGATTCATAAGAACCTTGTTCCAAATTGTGTTCTCTTCTAATGTTGTAAACTTCTTGTTTGGCAAAACTCTATGCCAACTTGTTGGCTGCGTTGTTAGTCTCATTACATCTGTTTTAAATTGTTGGTTATTTGGAAATGAGCTTCATAATGTTTGCCATTTTCCCCGAAGTTTGATGTTCTGTATCTGATCCATTACCAGGCAGTTATGAAAATGCATTCTGACTGACCATTTACAGGAAGTCTGGAAATTCTTCTTAACTACTTGTGGTTTAATCTTTTCAAGATTGCCATTAGTGACAAGCTTAGTTAGTTTGACCCCCTATTTTTAAAGATAATTTTCACACCTGGAGAATATGGAATATACCAATATATCAAAGTCTCTGGTCTTTTACCACCACCGTTTGCCACTCTTGTTCATAGGTTAGTCACCATTTTTTTTTTAGAAATGCGATGTAGCGTTGTAGAATGTACTATGTAGAATAAATGCCTATGTTTGAGATTCCTTACACTTCTGTGAATTTTAGTCAGCAGTCAACTTCAGGTCTTGTTTCTTCTAAAAAGTGTGTAGTCATTAATAGTAGATAGTGCTAGTATCTCATTCATGCAGTCTAAGACGTGTTTTTAGAGGCAGGCCATTTTTGTTGCTATAATTTGTGTTATTCAAGACTTGTAAGATATACTCTCATTTAGAGAAATTGCAGATGGTTGGTTAGAAAGGCAATGTCTTACCCACTTTCTTACCTACCTTTCATACAATGTCTTTCTACCGACTTTCTTACCTACTAAATATATATATTTTTTTTACATTGTATATTCATAATCCATATATTTTGCAGATCAGTGGGGAAGCTCAGGAACTCTTTTCTGTCCGCCATGGTCCAGTTCGAGCTGCACGGATTTTACCAGCTCCACAAATCAGTAAGTATATATTTATATGCTTTGTAATGAAGCATAACTTTTTTTTATTTTTATTCATAATAACTTTCTACAAGTAATATTTACTACTTTTTTTCTCCTACTCTGTAGTCCAGTTGTTTCTCCAGTTTCGTCTTCAGATTTTAGCTTTGATGCTGCTTCCTTTGTGTTTTAGAGGATATCTAGGTTTGTGTGTGCTCAGAGATCAGCCCAGCGATGTTAATGATTCTGTTTGGAAATGTTTATTATCAATATTTTATTGCTATAAAATAATATTGAAATTACTTTTTTTATAGCAAGGCAGTGCCTGATAGCAGTAGATCTAGAAATTATTAATATTTATTAAAAACTCCTATTATAATAGTGCATTGTAAAGTCTATTCATAATGTGATGCCCTTCTAAACTCTTAAACTCTTTAGAAGAAGGGTAGTATGGTTTTGGGTTTGGTTTTTTTTTTTATTACCCATTCAGGAGCTGAAACTGAGGCAATGTAAGTAAGATAATGCAAGAAGTAGTTGATCTAAGTAATACAGTTTGTACAAAGAGAAAATGTCATTTTCTGATTATTTAAGTATTTTATTTATGAAGAAAATACTTGGTATTTTCTAAGCTGTGAAATGATCTAAATAGTCTCCTAGTGCATCCATTAAGTTTAGCAATTGCAGCTTTTTAAAAGGTTTTTAAAAAAGGCTGCTTTTCCACTCCAGTAAAGATAACAAGACAATGACATTTGTTTTTTGGGGTGGTACTAGCTTCTAGTTTGTCCTCCTTCTGCTTATTTTCTGTAAACTTTATTCAAACAGTTTGAACTTTTTAGTGGTTGGACTTCTATCGTGATCCCTTGAGTGCCGATAGGCACCTCCTCTCTTTTACTACTTAGGTACTGTTTTATCAAATTCTAAGACAAGCTGCTTAGTTTAACAGGATTGTTTCAGAAATTCTGAGTTAATTCCCTGGAAGACCTTGCTGCAAAATTTAAGCAACTATGCATGAACAAGCGAATTCCTTTAAAAAGCAACACTGTTCAATCTAAATAGAAAATCTGATTGTAGACTACTTAAACCTTTAAGATCTGTTGGTGTCCTCGTTAGTTTTTGGTTTTGTCAACGTTTTACTTATCCACTGTCCCTGAAACTTTAACTGGGTGAGCTGTTCTGCACAGCTGCTGAGTGGTATTTCTAGTCTAAATTGGTTGCCATGTTTTACTTTGTAGATGAAAAGAATGTGCTTCTAGTATGACGAAGGTTTTTTGGCATTATACTGGATTACAAATTTTAGTAGTATATTATGAATTAGTGAACTCAAAAATATAACCTAAAATCTAATTGTTTAAATTATTAAAAAAGTAGTAAATTATAATCATTTTGAGTGTTTCAAAGAAAGTAAGTGAAGAAAGTTAAAGGTTTAATGGACACATTTTATATTGTCTCCGTGATTTCCTGAGTGGAGGAATATAAAAAGGATGGGTATATGTGGTTCTGTAACTCTCTTATAGGTTAAAGTAACTTAAAGCAAAATACTTCACAAGCATGTTGTGCCTTTTATTCTGTTTATGGGAACACTGCATAATTCCTCATGAGCTATGTTTTTTTTGCTATGATGTGTGTCATTAAGTAATGGGTGCCTATGCCCCTTGTTCTCTCAAAGAAAAAAAAAAAAGGAGAAAGAAAAGTGGAAATGGCAATGAAAATGAAGTAAATTAATTGAAGAACCTCTAAGTTCTGTTTTTTTCTGATAGTAAAATAGTGCTTCCTGATTTTTCACTCTAGTAAGTTACACTGCTTATGAGCTCCTTCAAGCAGTTACTGTCTTTCTGTCTCTAAATTGCATATATTTAGCATCTGACAATGATAGTTGTTACATTAGAAAACTATTCAAATTAGCTCATATTAAATTAAGCCAAACCTTTTAAAAACATGTTTTGGTCTCTCTTTACATGGCTTGGTTTAAATAAATCTTTGATTAAAGGTACATGAATGCATCATTGACCAGTATCTGGAATCAGATAAAAGTAAAGCTGTAATAAGAGGCCTTAGATAACTAACACATGAGCTTTATGATTCTGAACAAAATAAAAGGAATTTGTAAAGGAGAGGCTGATTACCATCAGTAGGCTCAAACACTATTTTACTGTAAAGCTGTAAAAAGGGAATTATTGAAAATAGGACTCTCTTGGTGGATGGATTTGGCACGTTCCTAGAAACAGATCCTAGTTTGTGATAAGAAGCTCATTCCCAGGTGTGAAAGGAAAGCTCATGGTTTTAACTTGGTGACTTTACAGTAGCAGAACTTAATAGTTTGTCAACTATTTTGTTAAAATACTCTAGTCCTTTGATGTTAGATCGTCTGCTGCATCATGTGCTTCATAGCATAATAAAGCATTGTTTCAAAAGAGTTATTTCATACAGGCTTATTTCATGCAGGCTTATTGCGAAGGAGACCTCCTCAAATCTGATTTAGCAGGTTATAAGTGGTCCTAGTAGCAGGAACGTGGTGCGGTATCAGGAGCTGGCCTTGCACGCTGCCAGCTCAGATCTGGTGAGGTTTATTAGTTCAGGCTCTGTGCCACGCTAGAGCAGTTGAATGGCTCCTGGAACTGTTCTGACCTGGCAGCTATACTGCAATGGTTGTGCAGGGTTTTGTCTGAGCTAACAAACTAGGCAAGACTTGACCTGGCCCAGCACTGCAGCACTTTGATGTCTCTGTGTCCATGGCATGGTTGGTCTGCAGCCTGGGTAAGATGTCCATAAAGAACTGAGATTTCTGTACATAACGCTGGAAAATGTAGACAGTAACTCTTCTTTATGGACAGAGAATATCCACTGTTGCCTTCAACAGTAGATATGGCTTTGATTATTTTCTATATAAATGACCTTTTTGGAGACTGAAGGTTTACACTGTGACCAAATTTTGGACTTGAGAGAGGAGATAAAAATATTCAGAATATGAGAACATCTCTCTCTGGATGCTGTTGGTCTTAGAAATAAGAACACTAAGTCCTGGCACTTTGTGTGCCACATGCTGCGCTATCTGCTGAGCCATCTGGTTGGCACAGCTTTTTAACTTGTCTAGCTCTTCCTCACTTTCAAATCTGAATGCTGTGATTGAGTTTAGTACTTCTATGTATACAGGTGTCTGGTTTGCTGGGCTCTGGATTTTTCTGTCTCTTCAGATAAAACAAGCATGCAAAGATGTGTTTGAAGATAAATTGATGTGACTTGGTGATTATTAGAAGGAAGAAAATGTTAAGTGGTAAACACAAAACAAAGCTGGAATGCTGCCAGTTAAATTTAGCTACCCTTCTCTGTGAAGAGGAAACTACAGTTGGTAACATCATTGTAGTTAATGACAGTGAGAGAACCAAGCAAAAATCAGGGTGTATTAACTGCCGCCTCCTCCATTTTGTAGGATTCAAATTTGTGATGTCCTCGCTACTACTCGAGTTACTCTGTATTGGGCTTCCTCTCACACAATGCCTAATGGCTCTCTTTAGCCGCACTAACCTAATTATTCATATTCTTTGTTCAATATGTTTTCTAATTTTTCACCACTTCCTCTAGATGATGCTTTCTCATTTTTCTGAGGTAACTGACTGCCTGAATGTGTACTTGTAGAATTGAAATGATATGAGTTTGAGTTCTATATATGACTAAGTATTTTGTCTTGGATATTCCTACATTTGTCTTGTGCTTTTTCTCTTTTGATCAGCATTTCTGTGATGTTTATAGAAACATTAAAACTGTTACTTACTTAGGTTTTCTGTAGTAGTGGTATGTTCTTTGGCCTATGAAGTCACTAATAGAAAAATTCAGAACTCTTCTAGTATTTTTAAAGACTTGTTGTATTTTGATTTAATTTTGAGGTCTATTGCATATATACTTCTGAAATCAGTGCTAAGGAAATAATAATGTTTACTTCAGATATCTTTGCTATTCTTTTCCC